AAATGGTATATTTTAACACCAGTTGTTGAAAATAATTTTTCTTTTCAACCAGGTTTATTTGCCGACAATATTTTTTCTGAAGATGTGTTGGCTGAAAGGTACCTAAAATTTTAATTGTTGTGGTACTTTTGTATCCTTTTTTTATTAATGAAATATGAGCCCTTTTTTAAAAATCAATATATATTTCTGTGGATTTGAAATGATATATTTCTGTTTGCTTTTTGAGTTTTGTATTTCTCATTTTCCCTTGCAAATTGCTTGTAAACATTTATTTCTTGAAACTTTGATTTTGATTTGCAAGACGCCAACATTTTTCCCTCTTTACAATTTGGCAATTAATTAAATTGACTCTTGTCTCTCAACTGGAAAACTGGCCTTGCCAAACCAACCAGTCAATTTTGAGCTTGAAACTTTGCGATGAATTGTTGTTAATATCTCACACCAACTTGTTCACTTTGTATTGCCACTCATACTCAATGATAATGATACTTTGGCATGATGAAGTGTGCTTAGCAAAATGGTGAGATTTGCTTCTAGGCTGGGATCCAAAGTTGCTGATAATACATGACATTCAATCCATTATACTTCCAAGTGAATGTATGATGCAGAAATAAAATATTGATTGAATATATATATATATATATATATATATATATATATATATAGTTCTGGTTTTAGTAAAACAGTACTTGATGTAATACAATAGAGCTATTGAGTGTATATTAATACATATACCCCATATCCCTCACTGACAATCTTCAGGTGCTGGATATAGCATGTCTGTTATGTAATTCAAAAAATATCTGGTTATTGCAATGTTGGTGCAGTTATATATTAATTAAAAAAAATATTTGCTATTTAAAATAAACAGGATTTGTATATATATGTTAAAAAAAATTATCTGAATCAACGTATTTAAGCAGATATTTATTTTTATGCCTACATATAACAATCAATTCATTTCTCTTGTTTAATAAGCTAGGATTATTTAAGTGTTTTAAGATAACTAATTTTTCAACAAGAAAAAAATTACATCTATTTTCTTTCCCATTGTAAGATTTGGCTCTTGCTACACTATCCCAGGGGATAAAAGGTGTATTACTAGATACCTGCACGAGATTGCTAAAAAAAGAGCATAGCATGAAGAAAAAGATGGCAAACTTGACGAAAACAAAATTTTATCGTCTAAATGTTTGTTATGATTAAGAAGAAAGATCAAAGTATTTTGGGAGTATTTTTTACATTTTTTAATCCTTCCTAGCACGTCTGAAATTTTCGTTAAATATCTTGTTTTTTTTTTGGTCAGCAAAATTGACCATTTTTTTCTATTTTATAAAAAAAATGAAAATCTCCCTTTGAAATTCTTTTAAATATCAATTATCATTTTTTCAAAACTTATTTTAAGAAAATCAGAAATTATAATGTTTATTTAAAATATTTTGAACAAAGCTTAACTTAGCTTCTGCGCTGAAAAGATGTAATCTGAAAATAAAACAAAGCCGGTAATAAACTTTCGCATCACAGGTGATGAATGACATATTGATGGATTCCGTGAGTATAATTTGTTCTACGGAAGGAGAAAAGTGAAATTATTTACATTTAAGTGAACAAATTATTTACCTCGTTATTTTTAAGGAAAACTTTCAGCACTCTTTTTTTTTTTTTTTTACTTAGCTTTCACCTTTACGTTTACGATGCTTTATGAAAAATATATTATAAAGAAATTAAAATAAGACTGTTAAGAGTGAGATTAAATTTCATATTTCATAAGAAAGGTATCTAATTAATTTATAGGTACCTTTCTTATCAAATTTTATCAGAAGTGTACATAAAATACTATAATTTTATGTACATTTATTACTTTGTTATTTGTATTTCCATTCATTTTATTATTAATTTTGATATTTCATTTATGGAAAAATGTCATAACTGAGATTAATATAAAAATAAGATCATATAAATTTCATAAGATCATACTGATACTTGTAGGTACCCTTCTCAGTTGAAATTGAAAAATCAAATTAACTTCTCCACATGTGTTTACATAAAAAGTAAAGGCCTTAACAGCAGAGAACAATGCTTAATTCAAATAATGCAACTTAATTGTATTCTGGTTGGTCTTCTGTACTTTATAATTACAGCCCAATTATAAACACAAAATTACATTTCTTAATTACTGCGGGTTTTCTGATTAGTCAAAATGATATAATTTATAACACGCTAAAAAAAAGATCTATTTCATAAGGACACTTAGGAAACCCGATGCGGCTTTTAACTAAATTTATAATATTTTTACAACTTAAATGTAAAAATCTATTATAATTAAAAATTTATTGAAAAATTTTTTCTTTCAGAAAATATTGTCCATATTCATAAAAACAATTAAAAGCAAATAAAAGCATTGAAAATTAAATAATATCTTTGTTTTATTGAGTTTTGTATGTTACAATTCAGAGCTGATTTTCAGGTGGTGGTGGTTAAAAACAAAAAAAAAACATGATTTGCATTGTGCTACTAACTATTGTAATCACTAAACCTGATGCGATCGAATTTCTAGTGTTTTCATAAAATTAGTTATTGGGAGGTGTGTAATAAATATTAAAAAAATATTTCTGCCTTGGCTTTAATAAAAAAAAACATATTCATAATAATTTCGATCATCTGTGAATAGTTTCTGAAAGGTTCATTAACATCCAAGAATTATTTTCATTTTTGCAAGATTTTCCAAATTAATGTCTGTCACACAAAAAAAAAGTGCTAAAAATTGTATGTTATTTTACTAGTTCCAGTGATACAAAGAGAAACAAGGTTTTTTTAATCAAAATTTAGAATGTTCTAAAAAGAAGGAAAATTTTTTAAAAATAATTAAAATAAAATTTGATCTTTCCTCTTAATAATAATATAAACATTTAGATGATAAAATTTTGTTTTCATCAAATTTGGCGTCTTTTTCATCATGCTATGCTCTTTTTTTAGCGATCACATATACCATCATTCTTTGTTGTTTGTAGAATTTGTAGATCCTATCATCAATTTTTAGTGGCTATTCTCTTGGTTTCACTATTGATGTTATTTTCTCAGTTGTTGGGTGCCTTTTTATAAAACTTATTAACTTCTTTGTTAATAGCTTCATGGTACATACCCGCATTATTTTGTAATGATCACTCATCTTTTCTGCTTTGATAATTATTTTATCAGAGTTTTTTTTTTTTTTTTTATCATAGAAACATCCTTTACCATTTTTTTTGATGTAGATTGTTGGTATTTTCAGTGAATTTAATTTTGTCTATGAGCGAGAATAGATCTTTTTTGAAGTTCAGTAATTGTATTAAATAATGGTATTTTTAGGAGCTTAAATCTGTAAAGCCTGACATCTTTTATGTTGATATACTCTCTCTAGTGTTTAGAGAAGAAGAGTTTCCATCTCATTCTTTTTATGACGCTTTTGATCTTGTGTAAAAGGATCAGCTTATAAGATTTTTTTGTCATGAACCATGATGTTTTTAGTCGAGTAGTATGTATGTATGCATGTGTCAATATATATATATATCTCAAATATTGACAGATTCATGTGTTAAGCCTTCTAATAATAAGAACTTTACAAAATATACTCTAATTTGATAGCATTGGTAAACTAGTATTAAAAAAAGATTCCCCAGGACATAAAGTAGAGGATTGGTTTCTATTATTATGTCATAAACTGATTCTCTTCCAAAATTACCACATATTGGAAACATGTTTAAAAACTCATGTGTGAAAACATATAAGGCTTTAACAAAATATTACATTATTTTATAGTATGGCTCATATAAGAATCTGCAATTTTTGTTGTTTCTCCTGTCAGTTCAACTAACTTAAAAGGGTCTCTAATTTAAATATACTAAGAAAAGGAAAAAATAACTTTTATTAGCATGCACATGCACACACACAAACACACAAAAAAGAATTATGTAGTTGTACCTTGCTATTCAATGCTACTTTGTTTCATGCACATGGCAACCATCAGGCATAAACTAAAATTGTGTCCTAATACTTGTTTATTTAATAGCTACAAGCATAGTCCATTGACATCTGAAGAAAAAAAGGACTGGAAGTGTAGAAGCAGTGACTATTGTTATCCCAGTTTTATGTACTTATTATAATGCAAAATATAGGCAACCTTACTCTCTCTCTCTCTCTCTATATATATATATATATATATATATATATATATATATATAGTTCTGTCTTGAGAGTATGTGTCTGTGTCATATGCACATATGTAATCCCAAAGACAGCCAGATAAATGCCTTAAAGCAATTAAAACTCTGAAGACAATCAAGTCCTGTACATTGGCAGCTTTATCAATAACCAAAATGGTAAAACTAGAAAAAGATTAGTTAGTGAGAAAATACAAATAAACAAGGGTAACAAGAAATATGACAAAAATGATCAGAGGCTTGAACATAAACCTGAGACCATTTGTCTATATAGGTAAAGGAAGATAGCAAATACTTTGTTTGCATGAATATGTATAGAGTTCGCTATGAAAATACATTCCAATGTTGTGTTGAGTTTGCTGAAAAGTTACATTTTGCAACAGTGTACATGGGCAGTGGACATGTGTAGAAAGGGTTCTACACAGATGGATACAAATGTATAAAATATGGCTACTTTAAATAAATGTTCAAATAATAACATTGGAAATGAAATAGATGAAGAAATGAATTAATGGTTTTGTATAGATATAAAAATCAAGTGAAAAATGTTGATTCTTCAAAGAAGACCTGGGATTGTTGGAAGTATTTTTTTCTTCATCATTATGCTGAGGGCCCTGCTTTGTTCTGATAGTCATTAAACACTCATTAATTACTGATAAACAATAAAATAACAAATTTCATATATGCTTAGCTTTATCATCAGAATCTCTTCAACTTTTTCTGTAATATTGTTTATTAGAAATTCTGTAAGGTATAATATTATATACTTGAATTTTATGTTGTGCTGTTTTCATTTTTCAGGTGTACCAAGTACTGGACCAATCTTATAACATGTTGGCTGTGAAACACATTGACTTTGAAGGAGCAACTGAGGCTACAATTCAAAGTTACATGAATGAAGTGACACTTTTGAAACGTTTGCAGTACAGTGACCTGGTGGTCAAGTTGTTTGACTAGTAAGTGCACATCTTGCAAAGATCATTTTTTAAAAACTTTTCATAGCATTAGTGGTGTTTGGGAAGTTGAAACAAAAATCAATTTTCTCTAGCTATAAAAAGCAAATAGCACATAACTTTTTTTTTCTTTTCTTAAAGACAATTTGTATTTTTCATTATTTTATGTCTTAATGCATGTCATACATAGTAAATAGAATTGCTAAAGTTTTTTTGTGGTTTAAGTAATTTTAATTCTTTACATTCCTGCTGCAAAATCTGGCAATATATTTTAAGATTATTCTTTCCAATTTGGAAAAAGTAAAATATTAGCATTTTATTTAAACAAATTTGCATAATTTTTTATCATTTCTAACCTTTTACTTTAAAGCACATAGATTAAATGTCACATTAAAACAATTTTATGAATAAAAATCAGGCTTTTCTCTACATAGATTTTTATAAATACAATGCATCTTTACGAAAATGGTTTTCTTCATTTATCTACCTGAATATGGTCAGTTTGGAAAAAAAAAAAAGATTTCTATCCATTAACTTTGGAGTAGTAGTAGTATTATTATAATAATAATCATCATTATTATTATTATTATTATTATTATTAAAAAGAATAAGAAAAAGAATGATTTTGTAATGGCAATACATTTGGTCAATGTTTATGGCTTATTTTTTTATCTTTATATTGTTGGGATCCAAGACCTGGTGAAGTAGAATACTGGCAAATAGAAATAGAAATTCAGTTTGAATAGAAAATTTTATTTATCAAATTTTGGAGACACTAGAATTTTTTTGCAACATGCTGATGTGTGTTGAAAGTTATCACTAACATTTTTTGCCAAGATTTACAAACTCTACGTTTCATTCAATTTTGTAAACCAATCAATGAAATATAAAAATTTAAAGATATGCAAAAATAATATTGCATTTTTATTAAATAAGTATTTGTTAGTTTAATCATTAAATTGTTTTTAAAGTATTGGGAGTATTTTCTATGTTAAATAATAAAACTTTTAATTTTTCCAAAAAAATTAACTAAAATTTATTGTACTAAGATATGCAGCCTAGTAAAATCAACTGTATTTTATACCCACTTACCTGTTTGCACTTCTCTCCAAAATTTGGTTTTGATCGGTCAGTGTATGGCTATTTCAGAGGGTGTGATAGATCACAGAATTTTATATATATAGATTTGACTTCCCTGGATCTCTGTCGTTGTCTACTGGGAATATCTGATAGAAATCATTACTTCCCACTAAACAGTACAGTGGTTGACCATGTGGCCTTAATTTATCATGACACACGACATCTGTAACAGACAAGCAACTAGCTCATACCACATCCATATTCAGTGCAAGAGATAGCAAGCACAACAAGCAAGTCATTGGGATATAGATGCTGGAAACCAACCAGAGTACTTCTGTGAACTTTTTGACAGCAGATGCAGCACTTCACCAAAGCTTGTAACATTGATAATTGGACTCTGGAGTACTGACAATCTGTGGCATGGTCTGATGAGTATAGGTTCCAGTTGTTTCAGCTTGATTAATGGTAGAGTTTGGGTGTAGTACAGATCTCATGAGACCTTGGGACCAATTCTCAACAAGGCACTCTGTAGAGTAGTAGTGGTGGTGGTGGTGGTTCCATAATGGTGTTGGGAGTGTTCACATGATATGGGTTGGGTTTGTTCATCCATCTAAATATGCTGTTGGTTGTTGAGTGCTATGATGTTGCACTTCTTTGTGACTATTTTCACCAATTTGTGGACTCTTTTTACTTCAACAACAATGGATGATACCATGTGTCGTGTCATTGAGCCCAAGTTGACCAGGATTGATTTGAGGAGCATTCAGGAGAATTCTGCCAAATGGAGGGGGAGGCATCCATATTTGTGCAACTTGAGCACAATTAAAATCCTGCATCTATAAATATCTAGAGAACTATTGAGGTAGCATGGCTCAATATTTCTCCAAGGATCATCCCAACTAGCTTGTGGAATCAATACTACATTGAATTGTTGAATTTCATCATGCTAGAAGTGGTTCTACTTTAATACAAAGCACTTATCCTATGATTTGGATGCATCAGTGCATTTGTATATAATTAATACATATGCTTGGTGGATTAGATTGTTGTGTATCTCCCTCTAGGGCTAGTGGTCATTGAGGCTCGGGGTTTTTTTTTTTTTAAGTTGACTAATCCTCATCTACTTGGTACTATACAGTCATATTTTGCTTCACTTTTTTCTAGCAGCTACTATATAAAAGCCTTCAAGTCATTCAAATGCAGAATATGTATGGCTTCTATATAATAAATCATTAATTAGAAAACCCTTGGATACAAGCAGTCTATTTTAACTTTTATCTCAGAAGAGATAAAAGTTTACAAAAAACAACAAATATTTCATGTGTTTTTTAAATTCTTCATGTTTATTTCTGAATTTCCTTTGGTTTGAGAAAAGGTTGGGAAAAATAAAGCAAAATGAGTTTTTCTTTTTGATTGTTTTTTTTTTTTTTTTTCAATCTTTTCTGAAGGCAGTTGTTGCTGCCTTTCATTCTGCAGAGAATTTCATTTGTCTTTGGCTTGCTTAACTGAGCCAACATGGAGGTCAGTTGAAATTAGACTGAGCAACTTTGATTTTCATATGCTAGCTCATACAACTCTCTAAACCAATGTCCCCTTTGATATTGTTGTAAGGCACTTAGCATAATATGATTTTAAAAGCAAAATGTTTAACAAGAAGAAAATAGAGAAAACATGACTATTCTGGGGAATTAAGCTTTTTAATTCTCACCATATTTGAAGTGCTGTCCATATTTGTTAAAAAAGAAAATACTTGTTGTTATGTTTTATAAAGAAATCAATGAACCAGAAAAATCTCTGATTCTACTTGTAGTGACATCTTTGGAGGATGAAAAAAATCTTGTAGGATAATGGTTTTCATGATAGTATGCACCCATTATGTATGTAGTAATGAAAAACTGCTGCTAGGAACTGCTTATATTAAAGGCTAATTGGTATAAAGAGGGGTATTTACTTAACAGAATCAAGTTTCCTGATGAATGACTAAAATTTTGGGGAGGGAAAAAATACATTATATTTCTTCATCTCTTTATCCTAACTTTCATGATTTGATTTCTAATGAATGTTTTTCTACTTTGTTTTTAGACTATTTTCATTGGGGAAATGAAAAAATATGTTTGTTAAAAGCAAATTCAATTTTATTTTTTCACTAATTCATCCAACATGATCTTGAGTCCTTTTTAGATTGTCTCCTCTAACCTTGGTTGGTGGTGTATGTGTGTAATGCTTACTCTTTTACTTTTATTAAGGGGAAGCATGACTGAGTTAACCTCTGAAGTAATGGTCAAAAACTTATAATTGAAATGTCAAGCAAGTTCAATGAAGTAACATTAACAAGAGTTACTTTTCTTTCTTTTTTTTTCCCCAGTGAATTGGATTACACAGAGAATTGTCTCTATTTAGTATTGGAGTGTGGAGAGACTGATTTGGCTACCATGTTTAAGAACCGAACCAAGAAAGAGAGAGTGCCCCGTGAGATGGTGAAGTTTTATTGGGGAGAGATGCTTAGAGCTGTACAAGTTCTTCACAAAGAAGGTACAAATTTTGTCAATCTATTTTCCAGCCCTCATCAGGTGGCATTGCTATAAAGCTATGCTACTTGTTATTTACTATGTTTCATGTTATTTGTTTGTGTCATGATGAACAATTTAAATTATAACTAAATCTCTTAGCAACTACGCCTCCTTTTTTATGCACATCTTACAGTCTAATTCCTTAACTTTAACTCTTCTTTCTATAGTAAACTTTGATAAAACGACACAATGCATTTTAGCTCACTGTTTAGCTCCCCCCTACCTCTAAATAAAAAAGACAACATAGGAGCAGTTGCTTACAATAGATGCTGGTGATATAGTGGTTTGTTGGTTTCAATTACGGCAAAACATGCTCCTCTCTAATTTATGGTCATTTGTTTTTTCTGAACAATTGGCTTTTCTCGTTTTTTTGACTTAGTCCCAATCTGTCTTGTCTTGAAGTTATGGTCATTTGTCTGAACTTTTTGCTTTTGTGTGTCAACCCCCATTTTACCATTTTGCCATATTACTGTTGTTTTGCCTTTATTATTGTTAATTTGCCTTGCATATATTGTTTGCTTGCTTCATATTATTTTTTGCCCTGTTCTTTTCTTTTTTTATTGCTTATTGTAAACTTTGTCAATTTTGTTTGTTGGACAGTTTTGTCACTTATTTTGCATTCAACCATGGCCACTCGCTCCACATGGTTCACAGTGCAGGGAATGCATTTGGCAAACTGAATTTAAGCTCTGGTGAGGACAGTTTGCATTCTCTTAATGCCCCCTGAGAAATACATAAATCTGCCCCCACTTGAAACCCCCTTTTAGCTTTGTAAAAAATCAGTCCTTCAGTAATAGGTCAGGATTTACTTTTTTTTTTTTTAATGGTGATACTATGTAACTAATTACAGGTCACTTGGAGAGAAGATGGTTACTTTCTATGAAAGGAAATTACTTGACATGATACCTTGACAATCTCATGGGTCACATTAATGAGAACATTCTCACAAGAAAAGCACTACATAAAAGTTGATCATTTATCAATGAGACTGCACTTGGAATTTAGCAGAATCTATTTTTAAAACTGAATAATTTTTTTTTTTTTTTTTTTTTTCCCTGCAGAAAATCTGCAAATATCTTTTTTTGGTAACGGTGCCAAGTTTTTTTTGTAACAGGAATGAAGTTCTTAGAAAAGGGAATATGTGTGTTCATGTGGAAGTATATGCTCATTACTTTTTCTTACTTGCAAGTTACCTTGCCAAAAGAAAAGGAGTGGCGGGGAGTTTTTCAAAGTTATTATAAAAGATGTAAAAGAGGATTATCGGTTTTTATATTTTGTTCCAAAATGATGACCTGATTATAATCCTCATTAGTCTTTTTATTTAACAATATCTGTAAAGGATGCAATGTTTTTCTTCTTCCAAAACCTGATTTTTTTTTTTTTTTTTTTTTTGCATCACCTAATGAAATTTTTCTCTATATTGTATTATTACAAGCTTTACACTTTCTGATTTTCTAGCTGCTTTTCTTTGAATACAATTAAATGAATAGAATAAAGTATAATAACTGTGAGTGTACTTTAAATCTAAACATTTCCTTGATTATTTTAAGGGGAAGGATCTATTTTGTTTTCTTTTTGTAATAACATATTCATTCTGTTGTCATTACTAAAGTAACTAATGATGTTTGGCATTTTATCAGCTTCTCACAGGCTGTTGATGTGTTAGAGAATGTATGTGTATTCTTAAAATAGTGCCTTTTTTTGGATAGGATTCCTTTTGAGTGAGTGACAAATTGGCCACCAAACATGAATACCTAATTCTGCTGTCTTCAAATTGCAGCTATGAATTATGCGATAAAAAAAATCCATATAAGATAGACATCCCAAGTGAAGATTTTCAACAACAAAGAAAGATATACAACTAATCAGATTTAGTTGTCAAAAAAATCACTCCACAATCCAACCCACATCTCCAAATTCTTTTTCTTGTTATCAATATTTTTACCTCATTAGGTTTGCTCAGTTTGTTTTCTAAAAATTGTTTTTTTTTTTCCTTTCATTTGTGAATGTTTTCTCATTGTAAAAGATAATTTTTCTTATGTAACATTTTCAATTTACTGGGTACCTTTAATGAATTGTCTACTTGTCTACCATGAGTAACAGTGAAAAGTGATTGATTTTTGTCTCTAGTGTCTCTCTTTCTTTAATTCAACCTTTTGTTTTCTGGTAAATGTGTGTTAATTGCTTGCTAATAATCTTAATTACTTTGAGAACATGACATCCATTTTGTTTTGGAGGTTTTTGAGAGACTAGACCTGTCTTCAGAGTTGAATGTTTTTCAATTGAAAAAGAGGGCTCTGAATTTTATGTGACTCATAAAGGTGTTGGTGGGCCAAGATTTTTCTTCCAATATCAGTTCAAACTAAAAGATTAATTCCTTAGTGATTTTCAGTCCAGTATAATAAACATTCACTTGGAAAATTTAAAGATGAAAAAGATAAATTTTTTTCATTTTTTTTTTTATTCTTTAATACTTCATTTTTATTCTTCATTGCTGATGCAGTTTGTTAGATTTACTATTTGTCTAATACACAATGTTATGGAAATCTTAGAAGTATATTTGTAGTTTATTCAGCTCTTTTATTTGTTACTCTTTCATTAAAGAAACTTGTGAATATAAAGTGCAATTTGACACAGTTTAGTCTAAATTTGGGGAAATGTGTGATAGTAACAAGGCATGCAGCATTAGACAGTATGCATTGGGAAATGATTTATAATGTTTAAATAAGAGAGCTTTTGACCTGAAGGAGAAGGAATGTGCTATTATGAATTATTATGAATTGCAGGAACTTGAATAAAATTTTACAATGTAATTAGCTCATTAGAATGAAGGCATTTTTTCCCTTCTGGGCATGAAGTTGTTTATTTTGCTGACTGATTTGTTTTTCAAATGCAATGCAGCAAATAATTACATAACTTGGATGGGAAGATTGTCCATGACATAATCTATTCTCTCATCCATTGTGCCACTATCACATTATCATTTGTGTTGCTTGTTTCTTTAGAATTGAAAATGTTGGTGGTGGGTGGTTAGAAGAAATCCTAATAGAATTCATTAGATCAAAACCAAAATAGTTCTTTTGTGATGAAATATAGCTGAAAACTGGCACAAGGCAGAGGAAATACTTTGATGACTGAATAAGGATGCTATGAATTTATATGAATGAAGGATTTTGTCAATAATCACTGGAAACTTTTGTATCTGTTAATTTGTTATCTTTACATTGCAGGTATTGTCCATTCAGATCTGAAACCAGCCAACTTTCTCATTGTTGGGGGCAATCTGAAACTGATTGATTTTGGTATTGCTGGTGTTATCCAAAATGACCGGACAAGTATGACGCGAGACACCCAGATGGGTACCCTGAACTACATGAGCCCAGAAACAATCATGGAGATGCAGTCAGACACTGGAAGCCGTCTTCATAAATTCAAGGTAAGATACAAATTTCTCTTTAGTAATTAGGGGTAGTTTTTATTTTGGTAGTTTTAAAATTTATGAAATGTACATGTTTCTTTCTTTGCCATGCAAGTTGAAAATAGTTTCAAATCATATTTGTTAGTGAAATGAATGTGGCTTGCTAAAACCTCTTAAATTTTATTGTTTATAACTTTGAAAAGGTTGAAATATTGTAGGAACGTCATCAAGCTATCTAAATAAAAATTTGGATTACTTTTTTTTTTTTTTAAATGTATAATGCTTATAATAGTTGTGTTCTCAAGCTGTACATTTTGTGTCTAGATTAAGCTGTAATGTTGAATTTTAAGATTTTCTACTAAATTGGAAGAATAAAGTAAAAAGTCAAATTTTGTGAAATAGCAGTTATTTGTTATTAAAATTTTATGCATGTGTTAGATGTATGCAAAAGTATCCAGTAAAGAAGCAGATTTTTCAACTGTTTATCTAATTTTCAAAAGAGAGCCTTGGAAACTTTGGAATATGACAAGTACTTTATTAAAAAGTAGTTGAAATTATAAATTAGGAAATATGGTAAATAAATGAATTTTAGTTTGTATACTAATCCATTCACAGGATTTTTCTGGACAGTCTGTGTGATATTGATGGTTTTGTCTGACCATGTATAAATGATGTTAAAGATTACAAGCATTTAACTAAAAATTAACTAATCATGAATTTGTCGTATTGTACTCTTTGACTGTATTAACAAACTTTTTGGGAAGTGGGCAAAATTGGCAATGATTTTTTGGGCTTGCAGCTCAAGACAAACTCAAAATAATATACATTTATTCACCTAAGATAAAACTATATTTTAATAATGTATTTTAAAGCCTATTAATATTTTCCATTTATAAATAAACACAAACTGTAAACCAATTATTTTATTGTAAAGATGAGAATGATTTTCTTTTAAAGATAAAACTAAGTCTGAATGAGGTTTAAAATTTGTTTCCTATCAGTAAAATTAACTGTAAATGTTGTTGAGTTAATTTAGCAAGCTTCATATTTGAAAATGTCTTGCACAAATATGTTTTGCCAAATATTGGTATTGTCAGACAAAAGATTTTTAAGCAGATCATCCTTCATCTAGAAAGCATTTATAAAAGTTGGGTAACTTGGCCCCCTTTCAGTGTTTTATTGAATTGCAGGTTGATCATTTTGATTATAGAAAAAGTTTTTCGGTTTGGTTGGTCTACAATCATATATAAACAAGATATTTTTAAAAAATTTATATGTAATAATATTAAAGGAAAAAATATGTAAAAATGATTATTTTCGAAATCTTCCTCTTTGTGTACCTTCTTCAGTATCAACTTTGTCTTTTTGTGATGTGGTGTGTTAATGACATGATATTTGTATGGTTGATTGATATATTGTTCACTAGCTATTAGGACCTTTGTGTTGCTATAATTTTTAGGTTGTTATATTGAATTGTTATAACTAGGTACCTCCACTAATTCATTATATGTAAGGTTTAAAATGAATCTTTAAAAATGAAAAAACTTTCTTGAAGCTTTCATTTTAGCTTTAATTGAAAGATAAAGGATTTAATATTTATTGCTTCCAGTAATCAAAATATTCTGTGGTGTATTTGAAACAAATTATATTACTTGGAATTGATTTTTTTTTCCCTGGTAAAATTGATCAAAATGGCCATTTTTGATAGATTTGTAAACAAAAATTAATTCTCATTTTTAAAAATCTTGGAAAAATAAAATATATATCTCTGAAATGTTATTTGAGGAAAATTAGCAAATTTAAAGTTAAATTAATCTGATTTGAAACAAATATTACCTATAGCATAAAAGGTCTTGTTTTATTGATTTATTGACATCCAGTTGACAGCTGAACATGTTCATAGTTAAGTATGGTGGAGAAGATGATAAAACCCAGAAGAATTTTTTTTCACCATAAGACTTAAAACATGACTTTTTAATGATAAATTTATTGGTTTGAACATCCATACTTCTGAAATTCTGCATGTAATCACACATACAAAAACAAACTGAAATTCTTTTAAAAATATTCGGGGTCATCAGATTGTAATATCGCATTGAAAATGAATTTTAAAAGATTTAAAATCTTTATAAATTATTCAATTTAAAATTGTAAAAAATTAAAAACAAGTCTTGTAAAAATTCATTTTTTTTATTGAAAAAACATTTTTTCTCCAGACAATATTGTTTTAATATATATTATTCTTAAAAGCAATTAAAAGCTTCTCTAATTGAATAATGTCTTAGTTTTATTGTGTTTTTTGGGGGGATTCAGAACAGTTTTTTGGTAAGACTGGGTCTGATTTTGCAAAAAAAATTCAGTGATATAAATTCTTCAAAGAATTCTGCTTTTAGCTAAATATAGTCACTAAAAATTATCTCAATGAATTTCTCAAGTTTTCATAAAATTAAGTAAAGTGGTGAAAGACATGTAAAAAAAAAAAAAAAAAAAAAAAAAAAAAGATTATCAAGATTTTCTAATAAAAAAATTTCTAAAATAATTTCATTCATTTGTGAATAAGTCCTGAAAATTTTATTAAAATCTGACAGTTATTTTATTTTTGCAAGAATTTCTAATTTAATGTGTCTGTCCCTGCAAAAAACAGGCCAAAATTTGCTATGCTAAAAGTTAGTACAACTGCTGAAACAAGAAAAAGTTTTTTAATCAAAATTTTGAATTTTCTAAAAGGGAGACAAAAATTTAGTTAAATATTCAAAAAATACTTTGATCTTCCCTTTTAATAATAACAAATATTTTGATGATAAAGCTATGCTTCCATTATGTTTAGAGCATGTTTTCATCATGGTATGCTGATTTTTTTTTTTTTTTTTTTTTTTTTTTTTTAGAGTTTTTATGGAGGTACCTACTTGTAACCAAATTAATTTTCTACTTATCACATATTCTGAATATGTTATATGTATTTTAATAGGAAGATTTATTTAGTCTAGGTGAAGTGATAGCAAGTAATTACAGGCTAGAACATGTGGTTTCCAAACTATTATATTGCATTGTTAACTCTGCCAGTATAATAAAGGCTTAATTTTATGCAGGTTTGGATACCAACTTTGTTGAATTTGAACACTGTGTGTATACAATGATTTTGTTGTACCCTGACCTTGATTTAGTATGATCCTGCTTTTTACACACTAACATTTTATAAACCTCAATGATTGCAGTATAACAGTGTCATACCATATTTCATCACAGTGTTAATGTCAATGGCTGACCTCAGTCATACTTGATTTGTACTTGTGCTTCACATGGAAGATGATCTTATATCATTATTGACACACTTCTTGTATTATACTTGTAACCTTAATCTATATCTTGCTTTTAAAATTTCATTAATTCTACCTTCATATACATTTTGGCCTGTTATAATAATAATAAGTAAGGTGATAGAAGTGCTGGTTGTATTGTCATAGGATAATAACTCTGTGAACAGAATTCTATTAATACAACTTAAAAAAAAAAAAAAACCATTAAGTGAAGAAAAAAATCTTTCATTATTTCTTGACAATTCCACTAAAATGGATCCTTTCTTTATATTTGACTTTAGCAAAAAACTTGGTAAAAATGATGTCAGTCTTATACTTTTCAAAATAATAGGTATTGATTTTTATGACCTTGAAGTTGAATGATAACAAAAGTTACAAAAGACAGTATATATATAAATATATATATATATATATATATATATATATATATATATATATATATATATACACAGAATGGTATATTTCAAGTAATGACCCAGTCATTAGCTTTGAGACTAATTGAATGCTTGACTGCCTGTGGACTTTAGTGCCTGAGTGGCGCCTGTCCGTCTTCTGGATACTGTCTACTTAACCTACCTGGTTTTTCTACTATTTTTCTACTTCTTGAGTTCTTTCTGTCACTCTCTGTTGAAAGACCTCCCCCTCTTCCACAATAAAGCCTTTGGCCCTGAAGTAAAAATATGAATGGCATCATTTGTTTTCCATTGTTCCCAAAAGTTCTTTTGTCTGTTCATTGTGTCATTTGTGCTCTCTTTCTAAAAGTTCCATTGGGCTTCTTTTCACAAGATATTTTATGACTTGATCAAAATAAAAAACATAAATGAAAAAATAAATGAAAAAACTAAAAAATTGAATATTGTTCTTTGAGTTAGGATCTTTTTTCTTTGTATTTTTTTTTTTCAAATAATCTATATGAAATGTAGATTCTTGCACTTTGATTGCTGTTGGGTGTGTCCATCTTGTGAGTTACCGTTGGCCAAAGGGTAATGTTTATCAGCCATCTTGTGCATCAGTCACTCATGCTAGAATATTGTGGAACTTTCATACACACCAACTTACAATGTAAAATATTACTTAGGTAATCTATTTGTATGTATTTTTATATATGTGTTCACACATGCATAGCTATAAAGAAACATTAATATCTTTATATCTCAAGGAAAGTTACATCACTTTTTTGGTTGCAATCATGAAATAAATTTTTAAAAGATAACATTGTGTGTCATTAATTGCTTATTTCACAATAAATTGTTGGCAAAAAATAAAGCTCGCTATTTTGTACATATCTCACTGTGCCCAGTTCACACAGTTTTTAGCAATGTCGTTTAGCATATTCAATGATAAAAGTTATAGCACATATAATGCAGCTAGATTTTTGCAATGTTTGAAATGCCATGCTTGATAAGACAATTCTGCACTTGTAGTACTGCTTGTACTGCCTTTTGCATTTGTATGTGTGCAGACCTCCGACAGATAAATGCCTTATTGCAATCAAAAGTCTGAAGACAAAGTTCGGTTCATCAAAAGGTTTATTGAAAGCTAAAAGGGGTGAAACTAAAAAAAAAAAAAAAAAATAAATACAAACTTGAGACTAGTAGAAATAACAAAATAAATAACAAAATAAATAAGAAATCAATAGAAGATGAGAGAAAGAAGTAATATGACTTGAGAGACAGACTATAACAGACTCAAGTAGTAAATGAGAAAAGCAGTTTGCTAATAGGAACTGTGTTTAAAGTTTGCAGTAATTAAGTTTGTCTATTGAAAACAATGGAAATACATGAAGTTAGAATAGCATTAAAATATGACACAGTGTGAGGACAGTTAACACATAATAAAGAGTTTGGTATGAAAAAGTACAACTGGCCAAAAAAATGTGGTATTAAAAAAATATTCATATAACAGTAGAATATTGAGGGAGTCTGACACAGGAAAAAAAAAAGGCTAAATTACATACTGACAATGCTATCGCCTGGCGGGGCTAGAATTTGGATGATGGAAAAAGTGGGAACAGCATGCCTTAAGCTTATCACATTCTATTTGGGTATTTTCTAAGGACTAAAGAACAAGTGGTCAAAATGGTGACTAACTTAAAATGTACCTAAAGTAAAAAGGTCATGGACAAGGAGGAATAAAACAATAAGAGTACTGTACCATAGTAACAGAACACTGGTTATTTATAAGAATGAAAACATTTGCATTTTTCTGTGGATTTCTTGAATCTCTCAAGTTTAGCAATCAAAAAAATCCCATTTGGAATGCATGGAGCTGGTAAAATACAGTGGTATATACAATGACATTGTAGCTCTTGGATCATATCTTTTATTTGCTTGGCAGAAGAAAGTCACTATTAATGACAAGGGGATACAGTCTCTAGAAATATGACACTGCAACCTTTAGTAGGAGTTGTGACAGTAACTTGAACCAAATCCACTTAGATTGCAATTGAAAACATGATTGCTGAATTTAAATGTTCAACATATGCATTTTGAGGAAGATTTTTGCTTTAACATATCATGTTTTGGTAATTATTTTTTTTTTCTAACAAACACTGCTATTCTTAAGAAAATAAGAAGATTGCAATGGAAATGGTGAACTTAAAAACAGGCAAATTTGTCTTGAATGTTCAGCTATGAATTGTCTGCTGTTTATGTCACTTGTTTTCTCCTCTTTCTTTCAGATTTCTGCTAGAATTGAATTTTCTTCCATTATAAGGTCATTGAAATTCCTTCCACAATGTAAGATTATTTGAGAGTGACTAAACCTGAACACTAGTGCTTTGTTGCTTGTTATGGTCATGTCATCATTGCAGAACAAAAGAGCATATTTCAATATTTCCTCCTGCCTTTGTGCCTATCAGTTGGCATACATTGCTCTCTATCTAATTGACTAGTTTGTGGGAAGTAGCATAAAAAAGCATCTTTGTTATTTTAGCTTCATTCATGTAAAAGGTGCATTTGCTTGTAATTTTTTTTTCTAGTTCTTCTCTTTGGATTTGAAGTATTTTGTTCCATCTTCTCCTCCTTTTCCCTTCCTTCAATCATAATCACTTCAAACATTACAACATTGTGGGCAACCAAATTTACATTTATGAAATCGGTTGACTCTGGCTGTCATGTCATTTTATTTTATACATTTCAAACATCTGTAGTCTTTTCTCTTTTCAGATTAGTGTGAAGAGTGATGTCTGGTCTCTTGGCTGCATCCTTTACAGCATGATTTACGGAAAAACCCCATTTCAGCATATCACCAATCCAACGATGAAGCTACAAGCCATTATTAATGCAAGCCATCATATTGAATTTGGTGATGAGTATGACACAGATTTACTGGATACTATAAAGGTAAACAACTATTCAAGTCTCACCTTTTTTTTTTTTTTTTGGAAAACAAGCAGCCATATTATAATGAGAATTTAACCAGTGCTGAACTTATTTGAAGAATGATATTAATTCACATGATTGGATATTGCATTCAAAGAATCACTTACAGATAAGACATAAAGGAGACAATGTGGATTGTTCCTTTTGTATAACAATGTCTCCTACATTTTTTTAATTTTTTTTTGTGTTGTGTGCTGTATAGTATTAGCTACTAATATTTATCTTTTGTTGATAGTTGTATTTTGGTTGTTTGTGATGTGATGATCAGGATATGCATAAATAAGTTTTGAAAAGTGACACATCAACTTATGAGATGGTGTGGTCCATGTGTGACCAATGTAAGAATTTGATGTTGCTTTTTTGATTATTGATATTGGAGATGCAATCTTCCAAAGGACAAAGATGTGTGAGTGGTGTAATGGAGAGCGGCTCGGAACGAGAAATCAGAGAGCCATGTTTGAGTTTCAGTCGGGTTCGTTAGGTTGATTTAAGTACAAAGACCCTTAGGAAAAATATGAATCTATTATTATTATTCTTGAAAGAATTGTTAATGCAATATTCATTTGCAAAAAAGAATTTTTCTTCCAATCCAAATTATATTACGGCTTTAAATAACCCATAAAGTGTTGACAAGCTGTAAAAAACCATTAATCCCAAAGGACATAAGAACTCATAAACAACATTGTTTTGACATACAGGGAATTTTTGTTTCTACTTCTATTTAACTGTTACATTTTATATCACTTTGGACTAATTCACAATCAAATACTCTAAAAAAAATGCCAGGATGTAGTCAACAAAATCTTGCCTATCACATTGACAACACCCAGTTCTTGATAATGATTGAGACAGACAAAAATACAGAGAGCAAAATATGAACTTTAGACAATTTTGATCCTAATGTTGAACATATTAAAAAAATTAAACATAGTTGACAACTTGTTTGGAGGAATTCTTGCTGCTTAACTATATTTCATATATATATATATATATATATATATATATAGAGAGAGAGAGAGAGATTTTTTATGTTCTTTTTTATAGATATAAATATTTAAGTAAATGCTCTGTTTATAATAAACAATATTAACAACATTTACTGGCCTGAATGTCTGAGAAATTTTCGTAGAAAATATGTGTCTTCTGACAGGAATTGAATCTGTATCCTATATGGAACTGTCATATAGCCTGATGTGCTTTAGCGATTTAGCCACAGGAGTGTTTAGGTTAGCAAAGTTGATTTTACTGTTTTAAGCTACAATTCTCCATGATTTTCTCTTGTACATTCTTGATGCGTGCGTATCCAAATGTAAACAAATGATGTCACACATTATGAAATGGACAAAGTCTGACAATTATTTTAAGACCTTTTTTTTATGTCTATATGTTCTTTATATATATACACACACACACATTCATGCTATTTATCGTTCCCTTTTCTAATCTAATGTATTAACAAAATGTCCATCAATTGCAGTTACTTTTTGCAATAAAAAAATAAAGTTACTTGTTTATTTAAGATTCCTGTATGTCATTTTTAAGTATTCTTTATTTACAGATTAATTATTTTTTTTGCTAATCTTAAACATAATTCTAATTTCAAAATGAACTCCTGTTCCTAAAATGGCTCAATGACCAAAATAATTTAGCATTATAACGAAACAAATATCTGAGTGATTGCTGACACAAATCCAGTGAATTCAATGAGTATGAATGTTATCACCAGGGAAATCTTAACGGAATAGAATCTATTGTTGATTGTCACTTGCAAGGATAGTGGGAAGGCCTCATGTTATTTTATGCTGTGGAGATTAGTAAAGTGAAAGCTACTTCATTTTTCTATTTTGTTTAGAATAAAACAACTTAGGATGTTTTTTTTAGGATTGATCTATATCAATGTTTGTGGCATTAAACTCGTATAATTTAACTTGGATGTGTCCTAAATAAAAAAATTCACACCCTACCATTTTTTTAAAATGTCAAGTTACTTTAGGACATAGGCATTGATAGCTCTCCACAGATTCCTTTGATTTATTATCTATGAATTGCCATGATTTTTGAGGAATGAGAGAGTGGTTTCTTGTTGCCTTCTCTATAGTTTGGAACTCAAAGTTGTCGTCCTAGACTGGCCATAGATGGTGAGGGAATGATTAACACATAGTTTTATGCCTTTTTGAAAGTGTGAAATGAATGCAACAGACCAGGCTGGAACTAGAACCTAGATCATTTATTCAACTTACTTCACTAATAACCATCACACTAATTGAAAATCACTACACCAGCTACAGTTGTGTTAATATCAAGTGTTGTCTCATGCAGTTTTAAATGTTATATGCACGTTAAAAATATTGACTTGTATCTTTTTAATAATTACTTTATAAGTATATATATATATATATATATATATATATATATATATATATATATATATATATATAATTTAACATATGGTATAAGTTTTCAATGTTATGATGAAAAACAGTGTAGATATCATTATTTTTTGGGATCATGTCATCATAGAAAATGTCAAACAACAGAACTGAAATACCTGATTGAAGAACAGTTAAATAACAAAGATTAATCAAGTGCATGAGCATTTGAGTGGTTGTGTAGAAAATCAAGTAGCAAGACATTGAAACAGAGCTGTATTAAAAAAAGAAAATATATGATAGTGACCAATTAGAGACATGCTGCTGCTAAGGTGGGTGGAATGGCATGCCTGCTGTCTGGTGTGGATCCTGAAGTAAGTATGACTTGCATCTCATCAAACACTGACTGCTTAGCCAGATTTAACATTACAACTGATTTCAGAGAATTTTGAAAAATATAAGGCATGTCTAGAAATATTTTTAGAAATATATTTAAGAATTTAAATCTTGGAGCCACCTAGATTAATCATTCTTGTAATCTTTACCATGCTGGAGATGAAAATTGTTGCTGTAGAATTCTCTCCCTTTGCTGCTCTAGGCACATTCTATTACCTTGAGACAGTTACTATAAATAAACACTTGTCAACTGTTATTTTCAGTATTTTAAACTGGAAATCACCTACTACTGCTTTGGAACCAAGTTAAACTTCTGTTTTCTGACACCATTTTGAAATCTTCAAGACTCTACATGAAGTGTAACATTGATTAAACTCACATTAATTTATTTGTGATTTTTTATAAACAAGAATAGCCATATCAACATCCAACAAAGCCATAATTCGTGAGTTTTCTCTTTGATTTGGACTCCAATGATAATTTTGAAGTCTTTACTCAACTGGATATTGACTGTGAAGTGGTCGGAGATCCACACTAGTGACGAGGTGGAAAGTGATGATGACCACTAGCAGTTACTATCATCCATGGCTGACTAATTTTATGGAAGTTACTCATGACCATCGATGTACCTGACAACTTTTCTGAAGGTGAATTATTTTGTCTATTTATAAATGATGAAATAATAACTTTTTTTTTGTCAATGAGACAAATATGCTAGTCAGGTGATAGAAAGACCAAACAAATGTTGATGTCTTCTTGTTTGTAAACACAAGGAAGCAAGTTCACTTTTTTGACAAAATGAAAGCCTTCTTAGTAATTTTGCTTCTTATTGCACCCCCAGAACTCTACAAAGAGTAAAATAAGCTAAAGAATGTTAAATTGTTAATGTATTTATTTTTTTTTTGTTTTCAGTCATCAAAATATGCTTGTAAAATATAATGCATTCCATTAAAATATTACTCGTCCATTCTTTTATTAGTATACAAAAAATAAAATCTATGCACATAATACAAAGAAAGTTATAACAGTTTTAAAACAGTAGGTGTTATTGTTTTTGTGCCCTCAAAAAAAAAAAAAAATCAGTAACAATTTTAGAAAGAATTTAGCATGCAAAATGTTAAAAAGGCTTGTAGCAACTGGAAGAAATCTGTATAAAGCAGTATCTATTGAGAGGCAAAGAAATTTTGACATGACTGACCCAGCGAACATATATGATGGGATGTTGCCAGTTAAGTCAGACATGTGAACTATAAAGAATGGAAAGCTATCTTGTTTAAAGAAAATCTTATAAGCACACTTAGATATTAATTTCAAGGTCAAGGAATGTAGCAGGGATCTTTGGTGTTCACATTTCAGTTCTGGATGATCTACCAAATTTGCCTGCACTATTTACGTTATATTCATCATCAAGGAAATGTATAGCAAATCTAAATTTTTCTTCATACACACACACAAGCACATATATATTATAAATTAACTGATTTAAAATATGGTTTCTTCGTTACACAGTAATAACCATGTTTTCAAAAACTGAAGCTATAAACTTCAAATTTAATTATATAATTAAATTAAAAGCATTAGTTTTGTTTCATCTTCAAGCAAATTTTGGAATAACTTATTTTTAAATTTACTGAGTTTTAAATGGATATATAAATTCATAATTTCCTGTTTCCAAGGATACAGAGAAATCCAATCATTCAGACAGGGCTGGTATCGTGTTCATTTTTATTAACTATTGTTGTATCAATTATGAGTTATGTTCCAAAAAGAGGTTAAGTTTAGAGAGGGCAGGGGGTGTATTTTTCAATGAATACTGACATCTGTTAAATGCATGTTGTCTGGGTTTTCTTTATTATTAATGACAAAAAGTTTCTCGGCATTTTTTTCTTAAAGATTCTTTCTAAAAGGGGCGTCTGGGTTAGAATACCTTATATTTAACTACAATTTTAAAATATTTTTACTCTTAATTACTAATAGACTATATTTCTTTTTAAATCGAGTAAATGTAATAGAATTACTTAAATTATTTAAAATTATTTTTTCATATCAAATATAAATATGTATATTACCAGCTTCCATTTTTTTTATATATATTATTTAAGGAAAATTTTTGACAATGACTTAAAGAATAGCTATTTCATTTCTTTGATTCAGTAAATTTTTAGTTTTTATAAACTTAGTAATTTATAGTTTCTGCACAAAGGACATGGGTCATTTAATGACCTACATATTCTAGCTTTTCTTATTAATTTCTATTTTACTGTAGGTGTTTTATTGGATTATATATCTTACTGTTCTTTCTTTATATATATATATATATATATATGAATGAGACTTTACAGGAAGAAATCAAAATTCAAGCTGTGTAGGAAAGGAATCACTGTTGAAAAAATAAGAATGATTATTATTATTTTGCTTTCTAGTGGAATTTGCAGATAACCCAATTGAATGTCTGTTCTTGTCTGTATTTATGGTCTAAAGGCCTTGTTTGGCTTGCAGTCCTCTCTTCTATTGATATGACCTAATCATCTGTTTGCAGGAGCTAATAGTCCATATGTAAATTGCTTGGTTACAATGGAAATTGTTTCCTTCCTTCTCTCCTACTTCAGGTTTTGGCTTGGCATTCTCTAATTGGATTCAATGGAGAAGACTGTCATTTTTTAAAATCTTGTAATTGAGATAATTTGATTATCACCTACTTAATCAAATTTATCTCTGCTTAGGTTCTGCAATATAATTTTTTTTGTTTAAATGCAACGTCTGTTCAGGATATAGGTAATCATGACTCTCTACCAATTCTTTTGACTTCTTATCAGTGAAATAACATGCATTCTTGAGAAAGTGGAGTAGTTTCCTGTTGCTTTCTCCATAGTTTGGAATTCAGAGTTTTCTTTCTATAAGACTAATTGCTGCTCCAGTTTACCTAGTTATTTAAACTCCTAGATAGATGGAAAAGATTTGGATTCATGCCTTTGCCAAAGGCTTTGATATGAAAGTGATGGCAACAGAATAACCTGGAATTTGAACTAGGCTTGCCGGATCTACTTTCTCTGCCGACATCTGTTTTACTATGCAATACAGCCACAATATTATAAAATAATTCTTTTAATAGAATTATTAACAATATAATTGCCCTGCTCTGATGCAGTCTTTGTAAATAATCTAAGATAAATGTTGATTTGTAAAAAGAAATATTGTACCTTATTGTTGTGTATATACAATCTAATTTATATAAGGCAAAAGACCATATAAATATGGGTTGGTACCGGAAGACGGGAAAGATAGTAGAGATTAAGAAATTGAATCCCTCTGCCCGATCATGCCCAATGCAGGAACAGTCTAAGAATATACCAAACTAACTGTAAATTTTTCAATACATTTTGTTAATTTTTGTCATTATTTGTTTAAGCTTCAACACTTATGTTGAAAACTGTATCAGTATATGATTATCAGGAATTGTACTGGCATTGAAATTACATCTCTAAATCTCTAAAGTATTATCATTTGAGTAAGAGCAACTTTCAATAAATCTAAAAAAAAAAAAATGTTTGTTGAAGACCCATGATTAAATAGTTATGAATATTTTATAAAGGACCTAGTTGATTTGAAATGCTGAAAGATATTCTGAAATAATGGTTTCTGTTGGCTAAATGTCATGTTTGAATCATCTCAACATTAATTAGCTAACAACTATAAATGATAAAGTTAAAACTATTTGATTTGGTGTAGGGGTGCTGATTAAAGTTGTATTTTGGGTTGGTTTCAGGATGATGGTGAAAAAAGTTAATCTGTAGCCCTGTTTTGAACCAATTTCAGATGATAGAAAACTGATTGTTGTAAATTGTGATTACTCTCATTTCTGCTTGAGGAAGAGCTAAAAAGTACTTATTAGTACTTTTTTAGCCCTTATTATAAAACGGGAAAGATAATTAAGGTAAAAAAAAAAAATCCATCAATTTCAATAAAAAAACAAAAAAAAAAAAAATTTGAGAATTCTTTTGCTTTTTTTTTTTTTTTTTTTTTAAAGCAAAATTTGAAATATTTTTTGGGACCAAATTTGTGTCCATTTTCAACTTTCTAGATTGTAAAGAATAAAACTTCATTAATCCAGAGTGCAATTAATTGATACAGGCTGGAATTTGTTGGCAGAATGGCTGTTTGTGGTGCCAACCAGTGAAAATCTCTCTTTTGACATCTCTACACAAAGGTTGAGAATTTCTGGTTAGCATCCAGTTTTCACATGAGAAAAGTCTTTCTGACTTTTTCTATTAGCAGGAATGTTATTTGCCCTGGTTTTCTCTTTCCTTGATTCTTGTCCAAATGAGGAAGTGGGCAGATGTGAAAGCACAGCAATGATCAGCAGGAGAGATCAGCATCTACATCCTGTATGGCTGGGTTAGTTGGTTAAGATCAGATAACCTCTAGCCTTGGCTGACTCTTATGAATTCTGAATATTTTGACTTGTGCCTTCAGCCATTCAGAGGTTGAAATTGACTCCAAATGTCCGAGGATGGAATATGTTCTTGTCTTCATCTGTTATATAACATCATGCTCATCTTCCTTTTCTATGTGTTGAGAAATCTGTGGTTCTAATTCAACTATTGGGTTGGTAATACTAATTAACACACAACAGAAAAGTAGTTTGTTTAAGACTGGAAAAAGGAACTTGAGAAAATCCTCAATGAGCAAGGGGTGTCAGAAATGCCTTACATTATTTCTCTAATTGTGGAGAAAGTTTTTCCCGGATTTCCCGCATCAAAGGGTTTAGGTTAAAAAAATTGGGTTGAGGTTAAAAATTGCAGCAAAACGCAAGTAAAATACAGCAAGATTAGAGCGGACAAACTCTCTCTTTTAGGCATGGACGAATAAAGAAAAAACTCCTGCTAAAAGAAGAAAATGTTTATTTACATATACAGAAAAAAAAGGGTATAGGGATAGAGACAATGTTCTTTAAGGGAAGAGAAAATGTTCATAACAGAAAAAAGGCTTGCTCAGAATATTTCTCTGAGCACCTAAAAAGTTCTTTAAGCAAGTACAATTTTTTAAGGTTTAGAAACACTCACAGTTCTTGTAGAGTAGGAAAATATAGGATTCCTGCAGTTGAGTTTTTGTAGGTACACAACAGAAGTCCAATGGGCATGACAGAAGGAGTGGTGAAGGGATGCAGCTTTAAATTGGTCTTGAATTGTGGGCTGATGTTTGTTCTCGATAACCCTTTAGTAAGTAGCTCTTCTTTGGTTGAAAGTGGTTCTGAAATTGACTGGTGCTTCCTATCGTCAACCTCACAGATGGTGGTTGAAATTCTCACTGCCAAATGTGCAAAGATTCTCCAAATTTATGGAGATTTGGGAGGCTCAAAAGGATTGGGGACTTTTCCCTCCAAAATCGTTGTACAAATTTCCTGGCTCCTCTATTGGTTAGAAAACACATTCTTATCTCTGATAAGGATCAGGGATCTGTGAGCCGGTTTTGAAAGTAATGAAAGCAGGTTGCGGTGAACAAGCTCTGAGGTTTCTCCCAGACTTTATGGCACCATGGAAAGAATAATGGAGGTGGAATTCCTTTTTATATTTTCCAGCTCTCTCATTAGTCAGAAAATATATTTTTATCTCTGATAAGAATCAAGGCTTTGGGAGCCAGTTTTTGAAATTAAAAAGAGGTTGGAGTGAGGATAGAAAAAATAGTGAGAATGTGAACTTGTAAAATATTGTTCTCAAATTAAATTCCCACATAATGTGGCCAAATTTAATAACAATCTAATATTTGGAATTGAAATTGTTTTGAAGTGAAAAAACAAAAAAAAAAACCAAAACAAAAAACAAATGTCTTTCTAGGCTTTTTTGTTGTTATCATGTTTTGGCTGTTGTATTCTATGCCCTTCTTCAGGCGTCGGTCAATGTGAGTAACCTTTAAAGAATTTTGAACTGAAACCTTTATTTTATCTACAGGTGCAGATTGTTCTTGTTCTGCTCTAGAGAGGTGTTCATTTTTTTTTTTTTTTTTAGTACTCATCTATTATTGCCAATCCTATTTTCACTGATCTTTAGTGTGTGCTACTCAGCCCAGGAATTGAACACATAATTACTGTCAGAAATCAATGCTTTAATTGTCTAAAGTATATTACTAATATTAATAGCTTTGAGGATTAAAGCATTCATGAATTTGATGGCTTTATATTTATGAGTTCAGTCTCTGAATCACAGTTAGAATCAGTGAAAACAGTAGCAGTTGTAAATGAGAAGAATGAAAAAAAGAACAAAACAAGATATCTCTAGACAAACACAGTGGAACAAGAACTATCTACTCACATAGATTAAATAAAGGGTTCAGTTTGAAATTCTCTGCAGGTTACTTGAATTGATAAACACTTGAAAAAGCTGAAACATTGTGATATCAACAACAAAGGTGTGAATGTTAATTAGATTGTAAATAATAACTATGTATCTTAGAAATTCAAACAGAAAATATATTTCTATTGCAGAGATGCCTACGCCGTAATCCCAAAGAGAGACTAAGCATTGGTGAGCTTCTCCAACACCCTTATTTGGCCGAAAAGACTAAAGGTAAAACATTTCAAAGATCTACTCATCACATATATATATAAATGTGTTTTACAGGTTTCAAGATTTGTTGCTCATCATTAAAAGGAAGAATTAACATGCAAGCAAAATTTTATTTGTTTTAGAAAGTTTGCATCCAGTCTGGATTATTCTTGTTTGATAATTTTTGAAGACTAAACTTTAAGTATTTTGACATAAGTAGTTGACATTGTCATCAAGTGATGTACATGAAATTTAATCTGCTAAAAATAAGATACTATTTTGTACTAAGTGGTAAAAGAAAGTATACTTGTAATATAAGTTGAAGAAAAAAAATTGGTTAGAAAACTTGAAACTTTCTTCTCCAACAGAACATTACTGTAGCCATTTTTATTTTCATTGGTGATGTTCTTATTTTATATTTATTAATTTCTGAAGATGATAGAGTAATTCAAAAGTTAATTTTATTTTCTACAACTGTTTGTACATATTTGAACATATTTCCCTTCCTTTTCAGCTGCTCCAACTGAAGAAAATGTAACAAATAGTCCAAGTGGAGACATGAATAATTTGGTAGCTGATGTGCATAGTATTTTAAAAAAATTGGCTGATACCAATGTTGCTTCTCCAAACACAATCAAAACATTGAAACAGGTTTGTACAATCAAGATTTTTTATAATTTTTTATTTTGGAATTTCTCTTTGTACCATTCTTAGTCCAACCATGAAACCCTTTCAAGAAAACTTCTGATGTTTGGCTATTGAGTCAGATCTAAAGGATTTTCAGCACTCTTTCATAAAGATTTATTAAAAGTGTCAGGAGGACAGTGTGTTTAAAATAAAAACATGGTTTGTTAGCAGAAATAATAATAATAATAATAATAATAATATACTTTTAATGAGTTATTAAAACACTTTATATCTCCAAGGTCAATTTTACTGTAAAAATGAACCTGAAAAGGGAGAATTGGTTCTTAGACAAGTCTTGCAATTGATGGAATCATGTCAGTTTCCTGTTGTGCTTTTACTGAAAGTAAAATTGCACCATACATGAATTCATACAGGAGATGTTTGTCAAGAGATAAGCAACTGAGATTTTATATAGACATTGATTTCGAAGAAGTAAACGAGCCTATAGAGTAATATTAGTGTTGGTGGAGTCAAAAAGGTTTTTATTGAAAACCGATATTTATTGGTTTGAGAAAATATTTAATCTGAAAAAGTTTGAAAAATTGATGGTGTATCACTAAATCTTTAAAGATATTTTTTATATGTTGAAATGTTTAGCTGTTATTTTAAAATAAACTGGTGATGTCATTATTGAATGCTATTTACAATGTTTTTGTGTGATCTAATTATAAATGATAATAATGAATATGAAAATATTGAATCAATATAGAAGAGAAAAAGCAATAAAACCCTTGATAGTGCAGTGAAAAATCCTTTCTTAGCCATAAGGCTTTTTTTAAAACAGCTAATTAAATGCAAAATCTTCCACTTTGAGTTCATGAAATTAATGGCATTTTCTTTGTTAACTGTAGGCCAATCATATTGCTACTTCCACTTTGAAAGATAATTGCTCTCCACAGCTTCCTCTCCTTTGTAGGTCTAAGCACCCTTTTTACCCTTAACATCCTTCACAGTCCCTGCTCTACCATCCATTAACATAAACTTGTTAAGTTGGTTACTCAATATTTTTTTCTGCCCCTCTTGGCAGCGTTGTGTGAGAGTTAAATTCTTCAAGTAATTTTTCCTTATTGTGGTGCAAAAATTTCAACCTTGTCTTTCTAAAAATAACAACAAGAATTTATCTAAGTTTATTGAATTCTATCAACAAGATCTATTCAACTGTCTATAATTATTATATCTTTTCAATATATATATATATATATATATATATAACATTAGTATATTTAAAAAAAACTATTTTTCCTAGTTTCAATAATTTGATATCAGGTGGAAACTTATATATAAAAAATACCATGAATAAAAGGCCTTTGTTGATTAAAATAATTTTTATCGTATAAATGTTAATTTATTATCAAGAGATGATCAAACTATTTTTGAATATTTTTAAAATTTTTAATAATTTCTAGCAGTTTTTCAAAAATAATTTTTTTGAATCGGAAAAATCGATCATCGATAGTCTCCGGTTTTGAAAAAAGTGAATGTTGCTTTATTTAAAAATCAATTATGATTTTTTTTAACTAATTTTTAAGAAATTAGAAAGTTTATTTAGTATATTTTGAAACAAAGATTGCTTATTTTCTATGAAAAAAATGTTTTTTTCAAATGGGAGATATAACTGCGGTGTTGATTGATGATATCATCACGCACTGACATATATAATATATAAGGTCAAGTGAGAACAACTTATTTACCTCATTATTTTAAGAGTCATACCATGAAAAAACGGCCTTTAACTTGACGAAATCAGAATTTTATTACCAAATGTTTATGTTACTATTAAGGGAGAGAACAAAGTAATTTTTCATTATTTTTAAATAATTTTCTGTCTTTATTAGAACGTTTTATTTTGATTGAAAAATCGATCAGGAAATAACATGGCAAATTTTTGTTCAAACATTAATTTTGAAAATCTTGAAAAGTAGAAATAATTGTCAGATTTTAAAGAAACTTTCAGGAATGATGGAAATTATTATAAATTTTTTTTTAAGAATTTTAAAATATAAATATAAATCAAGTCTTGTTTTTAAATGTTTCTTCCGGGGATTTGAAAGATTTTTTTTTACACAGGTTAAAGGACAGTAAGATTATTCTCATTGCTTTTTCGTTGATTGTAAAACCTTGTACTATTTATAATCTGACAGATATAGGTACCTAAAATAGCATTATATAGGATTCGTAATTTTAGAATATTTAACAACTTTTAGTAACTTTTAGTAACTTTATGTAAAAATAATAAAATAATTTATTAAATAACAATTAATTCATTTAAAATTCATTTTTTCATCAAAAAGTTTTTTTTTTCAGACAATATTAAATATTGATAAAAACAAATATAAAAGCATTTAAAATTAAATGGTATTTTTGTTTTATTGGGTTTTGTATGTTACAATTCAAATTTTAGAACTTAAATGCCTTGTGTTTTTTATTAATATAATGACATAAACTTTTTACAGTTTTTTTTTTCATTTATGGGGTGGTAATATATGTATAAAAAATATATTTTTATAATGACTTTAAAAAAAATAAACATATTTATAATAATTTCCATCATTTCTGAATTTTCTGAAAGTTTCATTAAAATCACAATTATTTCTATTTTTTCAAGATTTTCAAAATTAATGTGTGTCATAAAAAAAATGCACAAAAAGTCGCCATATTTATTTACTAGAGTTCCGGATGACGAAAAACAAGGTTTTTCAATTGTTGTAATAAAGACAGAAAATTTTGAAAATAATTAAAAATTACTTTGTTCTTTACCACTCGAACATAGACATTTTTAATGAGAAAATTTTGTTTTCGTTGTTTGACGTCTTTTTTCATCAGACTATACGCTTTTTTAGCGATCTCATCCAATACCTAATATATATATATATATATATATATATATATATATGAGAAAGAGGGTAAATGAATGACAAAATGGTAAACTGTGTATTGACATGTTTTGTTATGAGAAGGAATATTTTCAAACAAAAGAACGGTTTTATTGTTGGAATCAATTCTATATACTTAAAAGGGGAGAAATATTGGCCAGAGAAATATGACAAATGCTAGTTACAGTGTTGATATATAAAAGCTCAAATGTACAATAATGCTCAACATTTAAATTTTAACATCCAGTGTATCTAAATTTTGAACTTAACCCATGTTATTCAACTTTTTAGCCCTTTTATTTTTATCATTATTCTTTTTAATTATCCCACATTGTATTAGTTGAAAATTGGACTGGGAAGAAAATAGGTTATATGATTTTGAAAGTAAATTTACCATGGAGCATTCAGAAATTACTGTACTTTCAGTAAATCTTTGCTGTGATAATTTTCGTTTTAATGAAAAATGCATTCATTAAATCAAAATTATGGATGGATATATTGTAATGAATGAAGTACATTGTTTTGTAGAAGATCCCTCCCCTGTTTGTACAATTTTTTTACTTAATTTTCTAGATGTCTCGTCAATGTATTTCATGGGGTATATTTTTAAAGTCTGTTTTGGATATTCCTGATTCAAGTTTAATTTTATTTTGTTTTGTGTTGATTATTGTTTTTGAAATATTTGTAACAAATTTGGATAAATTTCAATTGTAGTAATGTGTCTAGTTTTATGAAGGTAAATTTAATTTTGTTGATACGGGAGGAGTTTAAAAGTTGTTTGCAATGAATGTTTCTTCATGTAGATAATAAACACTTCAAATTCTAAGTTCTCTTCTTAAGTAGAAACCTATAATTATTTTGGATTTCATTTTGTTGTTGTACTTTGTGTAGATGTTTAGTTTTTCATCATTATCAGTGCAGTTCAACATAGTATGTGTCTAGTTTTATCACGGTAAATTGTAATGTTTTTTCATAAGTGAATGCAATTGTATGTTCTCTATTCAGTTTATTTCCAAGATCAGTTAATACCGCTTTATCTTTTCTGGGTTTGACAATCAACTACACCCACCAGCAAGGCCTCTGATCAGGGGATTTTGAGAAACATGGAACCACCTCTTAATTGCTGTTGTACCCATGTCTACCCTGATCCAAGGTGGTAGCACATGTTAGGGTCCCAGCTATGGGCAAATAGTGAACCCCTCAAACAGGGATCAAAACATTGTGAAGAAAGTATAAAAGTACTTTTTATAGTAAAAATACCAGCAATAGATTTTAATAGTAAAAAACAAAATTACCAAATCTCCCCAAAAAATAAAATTTCAGTATTAAATGACCCATAAGTAGTTGATATGCTGTCAAACAAACAATGAACTCTTGTCCAATTCATTTTAAGAAAGAAAATAAAAAGAAATTTCTTAAATATAAAATTTTTAAAATTATAAATTTTTAAAATAAAAATTATAAATTTTTAAAATAAAAAGAAATTTCTTAATATATATAATTTCTTTTTATTTTCTTAAAATTAAAAAGAAATTTCTTTTTATTTTCTTAAAAATAAAAAGAAATTCCTTTGACCAGGAATAGATGAACATCATAATCATGATGAATGGCAACCTGCTCTTCTTGAAACAAGCTTCTATTCTTATTTAACCATTCTAGTGATAAGATCTCAAGTTATAATTGGTAGATCTACGCTGCTAAAATACAACTTTTTAATTGTGTCATGGGAACGAACTCCTCCTCAGCAATTTTCATATCTTCATGGCTAAGCAGTGAAAGAAATTTTGACCTTTGTCCTTCCTCACATAAACAACTGATAAGAATGAATTTTACTTTCTAAGATATTGATGAGTTCACACATGCGCAATTACTGATAACAACAAATATGAATTGCCTGCAGATAATGAAGAAGTTGTACCAAACTATTTTATATACATATATTTCTGTTTTCAACAATGTTTTCTTGACAGAGATTTTGTGGAAATGGCATGTATCTAAATTTGGAGCAATATAAATGCCTAGGCTTCATAAGATATTTTACTGATTTCAGCTTAGGCACAAGGCCACAAGTACGAGAGAAACCCATTAACAGTTGTTAGGCTTAAGTACACTTGCCAGTTTAGGTTTACACTCATTTCTAGGTTTATGAAATGATTGCTTCAACTCTGAAAACCTATTAACCAAATTTTTGTTCTTATTGATTTTAATTTGCATAAATAAAATCTGTAGAAAATAATAAATCTAGAATGAAAAGAAAAACTGAATTATTTCAATAAATTAGAAAGGAAATAGGAATAATAAACTTTTCTTACCCCACTTTTTAGTTTTTATGGCTCAGCTGTGTATCTTTTTGAATTCTGAAGAGAATAAAAGAATAAATTGGGGGAAATTTTTTGAATTTCCTTAAAGAAAAAGTTACAAACAAATAGATCATCTATGTATGTTTTATTTTTTTAAAATTTCTTTTTTTTTTTTTTTAACCTTTGTTTTCAGCTTAGGTTGCTTTTCTATAAAGTAGGCTTTTTGTCAGTGAAGTATTTTTTAATGTTGTATTTCATTCATTAAAAATAGAAATGAAGCATAGAAAACATAATAAATATTTCTTTTTCTTTAATGACTGTTGTAATAAAATGAGTAGTCCTGTGGCAAGTAAAATGACAAATATTTGTGACAAGGGATCATAGACCCCTACCTACCCCCAAAGAAAAAAAAGTTGTTCTAAAACTTCCCAAGGGAATTAAAAAAAATACTTACTGATTTCAATTTGCATGAATAAAATCTGTAGAGAAAAATAAATCTAGAATGAAAAGAAAAGCTGAATTATTTCAATAAATTAGAAAGGAAATAGGAATAATAAACATTTCTTAACCCCCTCCCCCACACATTTTAGTTTTTATACCTCAGATGTGTATCATTTTGAATTCTGGAGATAATGAAAGAATAAATTAGGGGGAAATTTTAATGAATTTCTTTGAAGAAAACATTACAAACAAATAGATCATCTATGTATGTTTTATTTTTTTTAATTTTTTCTTTTTTACCTTTGTTTTCAGCTTAGGTTGTCCTGTGTCAATTAAAATGACAAATATTTGTGACAAGAGATCATTGATCCCCACCCCCTTCCAAAACTTCCCAAGGAAATTAAAAAAAAAAAAAAAAAATCTTATTCCTGCTTGAATTTTTCAAGATTTATAATCAAAACTATTTTTTTACAGACATTGCAGCAACTTGGACCAAAGAAGGAAATGAACAAAGTCCTGAATCAGTTGCCAAACAATAAGAAGGTAAAAATTTGACATTTCTTGAGCACACAAAACCAAAATAGATGAGTTCAGAAATCTTGAGTTGTCTGATTTAAGGTGCAAGTGCGAATTGTTGAAGTTATTTCTTTTTGCCCTCTTTCACTCAAATCTGTACTTATTTTTACTTAATTTGCATATTACAAATGTTCTGCATATTACACTGAATTCTGTAGGAAGAATTCTGCTATAAAATTCACTTTTCTTCTCTTGGGTGAATCAAACAACATGTTAAGTTTGATAAGCTGTAGAAAACAAATCAAATAACATGTTAGGGTTGATAAGACATAGAAAACAAATTAAAGAAACATATCCAGTATCTGGAAATAAAAAAAACACTTTCACACTTTTTGTTGAGATTCTATTCTAGTTAATGATAGCTGTTCTATTTTCTCTTAAAAAAAAAAAAACTCACCTTCATTGTATGTCATTGATGTCAATGGTGTTAGAACCTGGTTCCTTTAACCTAATCTTAATCAAGATTTGCAAGAAGGTAAATCTCAATATAGATTTTATAGTATTTGCACTATACAAAGGTTATAATGTACAATTGCTAGTATTGTGATCGTTGTTGTTTTTAAAGAATTTAGCATTGTTTTCTTTGTTGCCTGATGTGGGATTGTTGTATAACTTGGTTTCTCTTCTTCCAGTGCTCATCACCTGATGTGAACAGCAAGCCAGAGATTATCCGCAAAGTGGAACCAAAGCAGAAATTTGCAAATGGCGGTGTCAAGGAAGTGCGTGCACCACTGCAGTGTTTGAACTTGAAAGACTTGAGACGGGAGAAAGTGGGCAAAGACTCTTAGGAAGCAAAGAATTCTTGTGATTTGAATTCTCTCATTGCAACTCTCTGCCAGTTTTCAAGAATTGTCCTCGTTGAAACCTTGGTTTCCTGAGCCTTTTGCAATATTTTGCTCGAGTTGTTTGGATTGTAGATGAACAAAATGATCTTTTAGCCTGAAATTGGCTGCACATCATAGATGCATATTCCTCTACAATTCTTTTGATTTTGCAATCTCTAGGCACCACATTTACAGTTACAGTCTTCATGCACCTATAGCTGTGTGTTTACAGAAAAATTCAGTGGACACTTAAAATATGTAAAGTTAGTGCTTGCTTGAGGATTGCAATTATGTGTACACACACCCACACACACACACTTGCTTACATGTGCAGGTATAAAATTCTATTCACCTGTAGAGCTGGCATAGTTGTTAGCTCTGGCATATATACAAGATTAAGAGGAATTACAAACGTTTTTTGCTTCCCTTAGATACCCACATGCATATAGTCTTTAAAGTAATCATACTAAAAGAAAAATTTCTGTGTGTGATATATAGTCAAAAACTGAAAAAAGGCCAACATATTTCTCTATAATATTTCTATTTCTGTGTATAATATGTATTTCTGTGTATAATATCTGCCAAGACAAGAAAAAATATTCAAATTGATCACTGCCTTCAATATTGAGAGCTCTTTTTTTTTTTTTTTTACTTTCTCAGAATTTGCACATGGAATGTTTTTTTCTCTATAATCACCAGGTGTAAATATGGATGTGCAAAGAACTGAATATCTCTTTGGACTACTAAAATCTATCATTTCTTTAAAGTATTTTTTATTTGTCTGTTTTTGTATCCTGCCAAAAAAAATAAAAAAATCCGTAAAGAAAATTAACCATTGCTTTTGAAGCTTTATGCAATACTAACAGATAATATTGGAATTTGCTTTTGAATTATGAATACCATTTTTTTTTTTTTTTTTTTTTTTTTTTTTGTAAATAGGATTTAGGCTTTTATATTCAATAAAATTCCTGTTAATAAATTTATGTCTGTATTCTTGAAATTAAGGATTAACATCTAAGTGCTTTCTTTTGGATTGATTTGTTCATCTCTGCATGGATGTTTTTAAAAAATGAAATTCTTTTTTTTTTCTGATGGAGTATCTGTAGAGTTTACAAGAAAGTTACTCATGTACATAGAAAAATCTCATTTGTATGTTTCTTTCGAAATGGAATTGTTTTTGGTAATAATATCGAATATAACATTTGCCATGAGAATATCTCCTGGATTTCCATAATAAAACTTCACATTTTTACAAAAAACACAACAAAGATGAGGTGATCAGCATTAAGTGTATTGGCTACTTCTATAATTAATGTATAAAATTTCTACAAAAATATTTGACATGAAATAACTATGATGAAAAGATGCATGTGCAAAATCAGAGATACCGATTGATCTGCAATACAAGACAACATTTGTTTAACAGAATCAAGTTTAAGAGTTTCTTTTCCTAGAAATAAATGGAATACACAACGAAAATTGTTAATGAATGTATTTGAGAATGACTTTCCTGTATAGGTGTGTTTGTGTGTGAAGTGTCCACAGCCCTTTTTTCCTTCTGTGTGAAAAGTTGATGGCACACACTTTGAAAGGAGGAAAAACAGGAAGAGATACTTATATAAGGGTTTGCTTATTTTTATACCCTCAGGGCTGCTGCTGATAATGTTTATTAAGGCAATACAGTACCTCCCTTTCAAGCAAGATAGGAGGGAAAAGAGAGTTACTTAAGGTTTCATATGTTTTTTATACTCTCTTAACATATCTGCTGATAATATGTTAAGGCACTACAAGAGAGATTTCCTGAATCTCTTTCTCTTAGCTTCAAAGATCAGTGTTTTAGAAGTGCTTTTTTTTTTTTTTTTTTTTTTTTTTTTTTTTGAATACATAATTGTCTTGAAGCTGAGACTGACTCTGTTAATTCCTGGTTCTTTCCTTTCTAAATCTATGAACGTCTCAACTGCTCTTTTGCCATTCACCATCTGTAGAAAGACCGGAAACATTATTTGCTTTTGAAATTTCATTAGTGCTATCATTCCATAGTTGACTGACATAAAAAATGGGGAATTAGAATCTGTATAAAAAGCACAATAATCCATTTTCCTATCACTACTGTTTTCTATTTCCTGTACATTTACTCAAGTATAAAAAAAAGTTGGACAATTTCCACATTCAGTAATAGAAAGCTCAAAAATACAACCCCCCCTCCCCATTTAATGGTTTGGTTTTCATTTCCTTTTTCTCTTCTCTTCATTGTTTTTTTGATCTCTCCCTTTACCCCCTACTCTCATATAGTTTTCATGAAAGCAGATGTTGTATATATTATATATTCAGATGTGTTCACATGTCAGTGTTTTCATAATTTTTGACCAGTTCTCACTCCTCCCCAATCTTTTGAACAGGAGTAGAGGTTGATCTCTTGTTTCCTGTTTAGGATTGGGTTTCTGGTTCCTTTTAAAGTCTTTTCCTTCTCTACCCACAACCAATGATCCCCTTGCATCTTGGTGTCATTATCACTTTGGTTCAGGCGGTGCTTCTTACTCTCTAACCCTTTACTTCAAGTGGTTCTTGGGCCTTCTTCAGGGTGAACATAACTGTAAAAAACAAAAAAGTACCAATTCTTATTTTATTAAATTTCCTGTTTTGAGATTTTGTTTCTACTTTCAGGTAAAAATATTGTTTTTAAATTTTCAAATTTGTATTGTTTATTTGGTGAAATTTATTTTTGCTCTGCCAAAGAAATAAGTTACTGTTTAAAGAATACACACAAGTGTGTTTGGCAATAAACTTTCTGAAATATGTTAAACTTCCTTTCTAAGCATTCTCATTTGGTCTAACTTCTTGTCAAATAATTTGTCATTGCAATAAAATAATTTGAAACTTTTTCAGTCATAAGGTGAGTTACACTACTAAATAAATTCAAAGTAGTTTTTTTGTTGAAGGTACCTCAGCCATTTTTACCTACAGAAGACAATGTATGTAAACATCTGTATTAAAATTGGGTAAATTTTTTTTTTTTTTTTTTTTTTTTGAGGAATTTTTTTTTTTCTATAATTTAAAAAAAATGTAGTCTTGATATATTTATCATCATTGATGAAGGTGTAATTACCAGATGCTGCTGTTGCATATGATTTGTTTCTAATTTATTGTGAATATGCAAAAAATATTTTTTAAAAGATAAATGAAAATATATTTCTTCTGCAGAGGGGGAAAAAACCATGAACATTTCCTGTTTCTAAAGCACAAGAAACATGATATTCCTTAGTGAAAACCACTTGTGGGTTTAAAAATGCTGAAATTTTCTAACATTCAATGAAAGGTTACAAATTCAAGAAACATCATACTTAATTATTGTTATGCATGTGGTTTAGTCAAACTCTAACCACAATGCAACAGGTATCAATAAGGGAAGTTTTCAAGCATTTAATAATAATTCCTCCTTGACCCTAGATTCCCAAAATCTCTGAGAGAAAGTGTGGATGAACAAGTGAGAATGAAAGTAAAGTTTTAATAAATGTTATTTTCCCCATGAAATTATGTATGACTTTTAGAATGCCAAATGGGTCGTAGTTTACCCATGGTGGTATAAAGGCTTGGAATAACATGAATGAAACCATAATTTTGGTAAAGAATTGTCTTTGGATAATGTTAAGGATCATGACAAGATCTTATAGGATTTTGTGATCTCCAGGAAGAGAAGACAACTATGTAAATCAAGAAGCTAAAGTCTATTTTATCAAAGCCATATTACTAATCACAAGAACTTGTTAGTTTCTCCCCTTTTATTTCTTTTTATTTTTAAATTTTTTCTCTCTCTCTCTCTCACTCACTCACTCACTCACTCAAAATAAGTAAAATCTCTTTTTACCCCCAACTCTGTCTGCCTACCTATTTATACATTTTAAGACCCAATGTTAGTGAGGAGTTTTTTTTTTCTTTAATGAATATCCTTAAATGATTTATTTTTTTCTTTGACTTCAAAAAAAGAAAATTTACTATTGTTAGTCTCAGAAGTGTGGACTTAATTCATTTCGTTTAATGAAGGTATTCACTTAAACCTGTAAATAATCCCACTTCTTTATTCCGCAATACAGTTTTTATATTTTTGTCTCATCCTATTTGTGCTTTGAAAAAGCATTGTATCTAAAAAGTATTGCTTATTGATGGTCTCTTGGATGATAAGAAAATATATGGTGTCATGGATAAATTGTCTAAATTATGCAAAAACGAAAATAACACTGACATCCCATTTTATCATATTTACCAAAATCACACAAAAATATCTTGAAATACTAAAGAGAAAATTTATTCAATAAAATCGCCATTGGCTTAACCCACAGCATTCAGATTGCAACTCTTCTGGACGGTCTCCTTATTTAAGATGGTGAATGCTGCCATAATCCTTGCTTTCAGTTCATCTTTGGTGTTAAGGGAGTTTAGTTGGTCTCTCCACACAATCAAGGAAGTTTGTATCTGGGGAGTTAGGTGGCTAGATATAAGGAGTGATGTGATCTCAGAAATTGTCTGACAGCCATCTCCTCCTTGTGTTGTATGGTGCAGAATCCTGTTATCAGACAAGGGTTTTCTACTAGCCATGTTTTTGACCCAGGGCAGCACAACCTCCTCAAAGTACCTGATATAGGTCTCCGTGTTTAGAAGCCTTGTGGGCAGCTCAATGTAGGTATAGTGTCGGCATCACTAATTATCACTGCAAACAGCTTCGTAATCACTATTAGAATTATCCAACTCTTTCTGAATCCTCTTCACTGTCCTTAGATTGACACTAAAACACTCTTAAATGTTCGTATTGGAGCTTCTGTTACAAATGCCAAGCAGTACAGCATGCTGTTTCTGTTGTTCATGATGACGGTCGTCTTTGAGTATAGAATCCAGAGGTTAGCAGTGAATATTTCGAAGACAGTAGGGAAGCGTAGTTCAGGTTAGCAGTGGATATCCCGGTAAAAGTAGCAGAGCGTAGTTCTTCCTCCTGTTCCTCTTCGCCTGAGAAGCTGGCACTGGACATTCAGATAAAGTAAACAAAATGACCGCTCTTTATACACGACGGATTGAATATTCTACGTCTTCTGATTGGTTAACCTTCTGTTGGTGGACTATAAAGTGAGTCAAGTCATTTGGGCTAGCTCACTAGTACCATATACCAAAAAAACTGCAACACCCCCTCATTTTTGGGTATATTATGGAATCTTCTTTCAAAATATTAGTAAAGTCAATATTAATATGGAACAAATACTTTAGTATTCAGAAAAATTCTTTTTTTTTCTTTAGTATTCATAATGTAATAAAATTGTTTCTTTTATTTGTATGTATGTATGTATGTATGTATGTGTATATATATATATATTATTTTTAAATAAAGTTAATATCCACAAAAATTAGATATATCATTTTGTCCACAGTTAAGTACTTTGGGTTAATAAACATTAACAATATTATAAATTTGGGTTGTGATCACAACAAAAATGTGGAAAAAATTGTTATTTTACCCATAGCTGGGACCCATTAAAACAGTCACTATCATTCCGGGTCAGGGTGATCCTGAGGGTCATTAGAGGAGGACTGGGCTAAAAGTAGGACTATTTACATTTATACCCCGAAACTAAGGACTCACATTCATACTAAAACTGACGTTTCTTAAGACAATAACTAATGGATGCAGTTTTACGTCCTATCTAAGACTAATAAGGACCTAAGAGGGACTTAATGGATGCAGTTTTACGTCTTGCCCAGGACTATAAAGTGAGTCAAGTCATTTGGGCTAGCTCACTAGTATCATATACCAAAAAAAAAAAAAAAAAATGCAACAGTTTCCAGATTTCTGGCAGAGTAAATTGCGTCATGGTGCTCTTTTTTTTCTCACAGATGCAGTTGACAAAATCAAAACGAAACAACGTGCATGTGCGATATTAAAAATATAAAATGGTGACAATTTACACATCACACACACACATATATATATATATATATATATATACATTTGTGCTAAAGTCAGACTGAAAAGGTTGAAATGGTTAGTAACTGGTTAGTTCAAGTTTTGGGAAATTTATTACATTTTTTGTTTGGTATTCTGTAACATAATTAAATTTTCATCTTTTTGTTTTCTCTTTAAATAATAGGCAAGAGAAAGCAAAGTAATGATTCAAATAAAAAAAAATCTTATAAAAACAGCTTAAAGACGAAACCTTTATCCCCCATTTGATCCCCCATTTATGTCCACGAATATATTTAAATGTTGAGAAACTCTTGAATGCTTATATCTCATTCGTTTATTTCTTTGGATGTCATTTCACTTTTCAGCTTAAGCTATTAAAGTAAGTTAATTTATCATTTTTACAATGACAGATGAGCTTAAAATATCTCAGACATTTAATTCTTTTTAAATTCTATTAATTCTGCCTACAATTTGGCTTCTCTTTTTATTTGCTAATCTGAGCACAACAGTTTCTTTGCAAGTCCAAGAAATGGAAGATTCACTTGTTTCTTGCTTTGAGCTCTTCAGTCGAGATATAAATTTGAAATTGCTAAAAACAATAACCATATTTAAAATATTTGCACTCTGTTATTACATTATTAAGAGGAATTTGTACTCAACTTCTTTTGTCTATCATAAAGAAATGAATATATTTTGGGTTTCTTGTTCCTAAAAGCATAACTGGACAATCTCCAATTTTGAATTTGCACTTTGCTTTTATCCAGACATCACACGACTGAAGAATGTAAAAGAAAGCATTTGGGGTAAAGTGACAACAAAGCTGGACATTGATGATTTCCAGTTGTTGGTCTGTATTAATAGTCATAGTTATGATCGAGGCAATCAGTCCTGGACTGCCCTTGGTGAGGGACATTCTTTTTCTTGGGCAGTTCTAATGCTGTCCATTTATATTGCCTGCAATATGTGTTGTTGAGATGGGAAAAGCTGATCTATTAGACAAACCTGACAACTTATCCAAAATGTCATCTAGCTAATAACACTTGGACTGAGCAAGCGAAACCCTGTATAAAACGCCTAAATATATTGTAAAGGGGGCGGGGTGGGGGATGGATGTTTGTGGGTGTTCTGAAACCTCATTTCTCATGGCATTTGTTTTCATCTTTTTTTACTTAACATGCAGCAAACATTTTGCGGTTTTTGATGCACACTGACACAAAACAAGAATGGAGACAATGTAAGGTAGTCATTGGCTGGTCACGGGAAAGGTTGGTGGGGTCTGTACTGTATGCTCTCTCTCTCTATCTCTCTCTCTCTCTCTCTCACACACACACACACACACACAAGTATGTTCTTCCATTCAAGTTTCCCGGAACATGCTGATTATATGTTGTATAAAATTGAGAATAGTCCTTAATATGTGAAATGTTTGGACAATTTTGGAATCCTTTGGGTATTTGGTGTACTTAGTGAAATGGATATGTTCTGTTGGTAGATTAATGAAGATTTTGTTTGCTTATTAATAACGGAATACACCTGACAAAAGTCTGAAGAATAAATTGGTTAAAAATGTTAGCAGCAGTTACATGACGAAGGGGTTCCATCATCCAAATAATAGTATGCTAGCATAAAGACAAACAGTAAGGCTTACGGACACATTACATTGAAATACTGGCTCCCGTATGATCACCGAAGTTAAGCAATGTCGAGGCTGTTCAGTACCTTGATGGGTGACTGGGAATATCAGATGCTTTCAGTGTGGACGTGGTGTAATGGATAATGGCCGGGAATTGTTAATAGGAGAGCCAAGTTTCAACTCCTGTTGGGTTCGTTATATTTACTTACACACACTACTCTTGGGAATGATATGAATCCACCTATTCTCCCCTCGGCTATGGGTTAATTAGTAAGACTTGTTTCACGAAATCTTTATTATCTAAAAAATAAAAATAAAAATACGATTTGAAAATATTTTCTGGCTTTAAATAACCTGCAAAGGTTTGATAAGCTATAAAAAATGAATCAATCAATGAAACACTCAGGAGCTACACAGTAATGTCTTAGATTTAGTTACATTCTCTGAAATATAAATGTATAGAAACTACAGTAGCCACAAAGTGAGGGATAGGTTTATATACTATTGTAATATAGAATTGATCCCCCACTTTATATCCACATTATATCTTGTTTGTTTATCAAATTCTGATTAGGTATGAATTGATCCATTCTCCCCACAGCTATGGGTTAATTAGACATGAGTCACGAAAACTTTATTTTCTAAAAAACACACACACAAAAAAAAAAACAATAAAAAAAGAAATTACAATGTAAAAATATTCTCTGGCTTTAAATAACCCGCAAAGGGTTGTGAAGTCTTAGAAAATGAATCAACCAAACCAAATCAAACAATATTGTTTTGATACTCCTTTTTATGGACATTGGGGAGTTACTGTCAGAGTAAAGAGTTTTCAATATCCAGAAAAAGTAACAGATATTCTTGATAAATGTACGGTTTAAATTATTTGAAACCTATTTAATATGAAATTTTTATACTTTGATAATTTTTAATATAGTTCTTTTAATGTAGAAAGTTTTACGCTGGTATTTTATTATAATGCGTTTTTGTGTGAAGAGAGAGGTAAGCTGAGTAGAGAAAATTAATTACATTTTCAGAACAAATTTAGTGGCTGACAGAAAAAAAAAACAACTTTTTATTTGTGTTGTATCTACTAATTATAATAATACATACTGTTAACTTAATGTCCATCATAGCGTTTCTCTCCTAAATGCAAAATATTCAATGTTTTAAAATCTTGAAGTGACGACTAACACTTTAATATGAAAAACACCAGTTGAAAGACGATAGTATGATTATTCATCTTGCAAGCCATTGTGAGTTAGCTTGGCAATGAGGCAATCCAAAAATATCGTCATGTGCCCAAATTGACTTAGTCAAATAAATATGAAACCCATTCAGTGATGTATTAAATATTACATCACTGAAAAGCTCGTTGAACCATACCAAGCGTGCATATGGTCACGTGGCCGAGTGGTTAGAACATTCTCTTTCCGACCATTAGACCCGGGTTCGAATCTTACCATGGTCGATTTGTCAGGAAGATGACTTACTGATGTTATCAGAATGAATCGAGGTCGAACCCAGCGTGCGGCATCTTTCGAAAGTGCCTGAAAAACAATGCCACGGGTTGACCGATTATTTGATATATTTACTGTTTACCCGTTATTTTTTATAGATATAATTTATTTAAGTAAATGCTCTGTTTTTTAATTAAAAAATATTAATTACATTTACCAACCTGAATGTTCGAGAAATTTTGTAGAAAATATGTCCTTCTCCGAAAGGAATCGAATCTGTAAGCGTCATGGGAACCGTCATTTGATCTGATGTGCCGTTAACCATTCAGCCACAGAGAAGCATCTGGTTAGCAAAGAAAATATATTAACAAATATTATAAACAGAAAATAGATTAAATAATTGTCGGACATAATCCATTTCATATGTTTACATTAAGATATGTTTCATGAACAGAAATGATCGATCGAGAAAAATCGTCGAAGATCTGTGTTTATAAACAGTAATTCGAACTTTGCTAACCATGCGCTTGTCTGAAATACTGAATGGTAACAGCATGTCAGATCAAATGGCAGTTTCCATGAGGTTTACGGGTTCGATTCTTGTCAGAGAGCGCATATTATCTATGGAATTTCTCGAACATTCAGGCCGGTAAATGCAATTAATGCAATTTAATTAAAAAAACAGAACATTTAAATAAATTATATTACAAAAATAACGTATAAACAGAAAATATATTCCACACACACACACACACACACACACACACACACACACATGATAGAAATATAGTTTTAAGGTATGCTATATTTAAGAGTTCAAGTGTTGAATATCAGGCATAGAGCATATTTGAATATAAAAGTGGACATTGAGGTCAAGGCCGAGCTGCGACTGTCTGTTATGGGCCTAAGCACAATCTTCATTGCATTGTGACTTGTAGTGTCGTAATATTTGTGTGCGTTGGGTGACCAAACAAGCAAGCGGTGCCGTAGTTGCTTCGTGAGTAACTGAAAAAGCATGTTGAACCATAGCAGAAATGCATCATTGGACTATGTTAAAAAGTGACACGAATTTGTTCTTCATCAATGGAAATAAAGATGTAGGGAAATTGCCTCTACTTTTTTTTTATTTACGTGTGTGTGTGTCAAGGTGAAATAATGGAGTGCGGCTCGGATTGAGGAATCGGAAAGCCGAGTTCGAATTCTAGTCGAGTTCATTGCATTCACTTCCGTGCTAAAACCCTTGGGAAAGGTATAAATCCATCCCCCCCACCAGTGAATGGCAGGACAGACTGGGTCCTATAGTCAAACAGTCTATAAGTGCAACTCTAAACTCAAAACCCGCAGAGTGTCAGGGTCGTTTGGGGACTTTGTGGCCCACTGTGCATCCGTTCTATGTATTCGGCCCTTCCAAAAAGCATTTACCACTATAATCAAAAATATATATATAAGGGTAGTCTTCTGTATTCAAAATTTCACAGCTCTAGTTTCACGCCTTCATAGCATATAAACTGTTCAGCCCAACCTCATACCTGGAAAGGTACAATGTAGTTATTAATGAGAAGAGCTGAAATTAATGCAAGCAAAATTTCACAGGTCTCTCGCCACCCCTTCATAGTCTAGTAACTTTTCATCACACTTTCGTAGTTTCCTTGCATCGACTTAAGGCGAGTTTAAAAACAATGAAACCGAATTTTGTTGTCTAACCATTGAACTGAGCCCGTAATAATGAATCGGTCAGTCATGCGTAATACACGCGTAGGCGATCACGTCTCTTTCGATATATGACTGACGAGGCAGATTTTTCCCGCAGCAGGTTGCCATTTCTTTCTACGGTAGACCAGTTGCCATCCAAGGCTCAAGAAGCCTGTTTGTCCTGCTATTTACTCATAGCTGGGGAGGGAGGGGGAGAAGAAGAGGATTCATACCTTTCCCAAGTAAGTGAATGTAGTGGATTCGACTGGAATTCGAACTCGGCCCTCTGATTCCTCAATCCGAGCCACTAACCATTCTTATTTAAATGTCGCTCGGTGCGTTGATCTCTTCTGTTCTCAGGGTCCGCATCTATTAATCCTAATCCGCCCTTGTTTACCTTGATTTTTAGGGAGGGGCATGTCAAATGAGATTTAAGTTTTGCAATGGCAGCAGCACTGTATTAAAAAAACCTTTTGTTTCGCAGCAATTCACTCACTGCAAACTGATTTTGCACGAAGATGCAGTCGATGAGAAAATTAAGGTAGGAAAGTAGGGTCCTTTTTTTGAGCGGAAACAGAAAACTTCAGTAAGTTTGGGTGTCTCCCAGAAGAATTACTGTCATCTGAATTTTATTGGCAGTTTCATTTCTTCCCAGCATGCTGTGACAATGCATCTCCCCTCGAGTCAAGAGAACGACAAATAAATTTATCTATGTTTGGAGTCTTTTTATGACTCCCAACCGCGTCAGAATCAAAATTGTGATGTGAGAGTTTCAAAGTAACCCCCCGCCGTCCAGAACTAGAGAAAATGAAATATAATGTATAAATAAATAAAAAAAAAAAAAAATGCGAGACCAATTGACACTCGACCGGAAAGTAGGCAATTCCAGTCATGAGCTTAGGTCATATTCTAGACGCAGAGATATAGAGTTAGAAGGAGTTCTAATTGGTGCATTACTCTGTCGTGAGAGAAAACAAGTAGCAATGATGTCCAAAGTGTCATTAACATAGACAGTGCCAGGGGAATTGATCCGCGAATAAAGAACACTGCTTGTCAGTAACATACATCTTGTCTTTCTGACCAAGACGGAGGTGCGGGTGGTGTAATAGATAACGGAATAAGAAATCAGGGAGCCGAGTTCGAATCCCAGTTGGATTCGTTTGTTACATTCACCATCTCTTCCTATCGGCTCTCGCTTAGATAGTAGCTATCAGGAAAAATCGTTGCTATTCTCCAAAAATTGTTAATGCAATATTCACTCACAAAAAATATTACAGTCAAGAATGTGATTCGGCTTTAATTAAACCTAAAAGGGTTGATAAACCGTAAAAAAAAAACAACAAAAAACCAAAAAAAAACAAAAACCCAAAAAACAAGTCAGTCATCTTCCCAACGTAATATCTCGAGACCTTACTCTTCGTACGATGTTTTCCCTTCAGTTTCTTTGCTGACCATACAAGATGTTGTTTTTTATCCAGTTTGGTTCATACTTATGCAAACGGGCATCGAACCCACGACAAAAGAACTATCCGAGAGATCCGGGCGTATGTTCACAATACACCAAATATAGTATAGGTATTCGTGGATGTATTAACAACATTAATCTGCTTTTATAGCCCCATCCTGTCAGTGACACTTGGAATTATTTAAAGTTAATGATGAACCTTTTTTTTAAATACATGGATTTCTGTAGTAATTAGCATTGCTTTCCAATATACATATAACCGACTAATCCTGTAATGCTTGTTTTAATTCCTGTTCTCGGACAGTTCCTTTCCTGTTGATTTTCAATTCGTTTTTATAGTGAAATTATTACTAACTAGCAGTAGCGCCCGGCGTTGCCCGGGGATGTAACAGTAAGAGATAGATCAAGTATTGACCATCATAAAGACTGAAAAATAAAATTGACAAAGATTATTGTTTAAGGTTGACGGACACGCATGTCTTAATTAGTTTTTTTTTT